AAAAAAAAAGAAGCTCCTAAGATAAATTCAGGTTCCCACTTCCTTCTTTTCAGAGTTTAAAATCTATAGTGGGAGATACTGTAAAGTGTCCATGCATTTCAAACACTTAATGTTATAAACTATCATAAAATAGACTACGAACTTCACCAGAGAACCTACTATGAACTTCCTCTAGATCCAAACACAGTGCCTGGAATATAGTGGTAACTCAGTACAACTCCATTGGCCAAACTGATTAATGCCTTCTTTAAAGAAGTCTTCCTGGATGTTCTGTCTTATACTACAAGAGCAATTCATTTGCAACATACATACATATATTGCATCTGTTGTATTGTGGGGTTTCTGTATGTGTCTGTGTGTGTATTAGAAAGACACAGAGGAAGCTTATTTCCATGAATAAATTGTAATGCCATTAGGCATAATAATTGTTTGTAATTTATTTAGCTAACACTTGGACTTTATGTAACTCTGTACCCTCCCTAGCATATGTCTTTCAGCATCTTCCTTCCAGTGAATCAAAATGGAATGAAGCATTTGCTCTGGTGGTACCTACTACCCTTTCTCTGTCCTGTTCTCCACTCTGATGTTACTACTTTTCTGCTTTGGTATATTTATCAAATGGTCTATTCCCCTGCCTCTTAACAGAAAATGATTTCTCATCATTCAATTATCCTTAGATATAAATTGGTTTCCCTGGGCATTTGCAGTTAATCCTTTAGTCATTATTGGGAATGAAATCATAGATTCTTCTGTAGGGATTTCAGGTTGAAGTAATGAAGGAGATTGACAGGAAGGGTAAAGAGCATTTATTTATATCCTATTTTGGAGTAGCCTAGTGGGCATCATGCTAGTTTGAGGTCACACTCACCCATAAAGATAATTATATAAATAGACTCTGCACCTCCTCCACCACCCAGAGCTCCTTCAGCAAACTCAAAATCTCCTGAGATGGCCTGGAAATCAATGATACACTCTCGTTGTTGAGATTTATTGCACTACACCCTTTTGTAGGGTATTTCAATTAATCTCAAAATAACCCTATGAGGAAAGTACTACTACCCCATTTTACAGATAAGAAAATTGAGGCTTAGCAGAGCTATGTATCTTGTTTAAGGCCACAGGACTATTTTCCAGAGAACTGGAATTTGATTCCAGGTCACTAGGACTTTGAACCCATATCCTTTTCAGTATTACTGCCACTAAAATCTGATGTCACTAAAATACTGATCCTATAAATAATGCTGGAAAAGATGGTTAGTTCCGATGTGGGTCTAATAGTCAGGGTCCCAGAAGAAAGAGAAGGGATATCGTATTGGGTAATTTTAGGAACGTTAATTACTGACAGTTTACAACAGAGTGGCAATACCCTCATGTTGATTACAGTGGACATGGTTAACGCTTGTCGACCTAAAGATGTGAACCTCTGTTTAATAGAATATGGAAATAGGAGTGGCAGAGGGAGGGAGAGAGGGGGAACGTGGAGAGAGTTGCTAGACAGGGCTATGCCTCCTAGTCCGGGAAAGCACCCAGGTCAGAGAAATCTTGGGGGTGGGATGGGGTGAGGGCATGGTCTTGCCAGTCTTTGTCACTGGCTGAATTCGACTGAACGCCAGAAGGCAAGGGAGTCTGAGGACATAGTTTGTGCCCATCAGCCACTAAGGACAGAGGAGTGTTCAGAATGAACCTGAATAAGGCAACAAGGAATGCTACAAGTGTATCTTCTCTGTCCCCATCCCTCAGATCCACTCCCTTTCTCTCTTAGCATAAAAGAAAACGACAGAGGCTTAAAAAAAACTGCTTGTTTTTGTGTTCTTTAATTCATGGTGTTCTTTAATTCATGGTTGCAACGTTCTTGAAATGTATTAGTAAGCTTTCACAAGCATCAGCATTTCTTATACTTTTACTATATTGCAAACAAAGTATGAAATATTAGTTAAGACCTTCCCTCAAATAGGTACATATTCTTTAAGGGTTTCTGTTTGTTTGCTTTTGGTTATGTCAATTGAGATATAGTTTACCTACCCAAAGACACCCATTTTAGTTATAAAATTCTATCAGCTTTCATAAATGCCTACAGTCCTATAACACTACAATCAAGGTATAGAGTTTTTCCATCATTCCAAAAAATTCTTAAGTATTTTAAATCTTTAATCCTACCCAACTCAAGCTTCATCCACTCAAATGTTCAGTATCTCCTTTTGTTTCTTCTGATTTTAAATGGGAAAATTGGCAATGACACCCAAGAGCATGTTGCCCATAGTACATGCTTTTATGAAGAGTATTTTTTTTCAATAAAGTTGGTTTGTTTCCTCACTTTTCTGAGTAGTATAAAGTATTCATACTGCTTATGAACTCATTTAATTATAGTAGAATGAGGAAAGGTTCATAATTTTGCTACAGGTTGAAATCACCTGGATCTATTAAATGGCCCGATGGCCATTAAACTAGGGTGCCATCTCATTAAACTAGGATGTCTGGGGTTGAGACCAAGGCATCAATAATCTAAGCTTTCCAGGTAATTCCATATGTGGCCCAGGTTGAGACCCTATGAATTAGACCAATTGTTCTCAACTCTGTAGAATCGTCTGGGCAGTTTTGCTTAAAAACACTGATGCCTTTCCCCACTCCCCATTCTGATTTATATAATGTGTTTACAAAAGTTGACTACTAGAGAAAAATAAGATTTGAATAACCTAGTTTTCAGTGGTTGGGCTTTAGTTAATCAAGGTTTTATTATAGTTCTGGGTATCTGGTAGTGTTCAGTAAATGTTAAATGGAGGTCCTAATCTCACAGCAGAATCAAAAAGAATAAGATATGCTCCCACTTGAAAATAAACCATTTGTGTGTTTGAAATAATTATCTTGGCAAACTATCACTTTCTGAAAATTGTCCTCCTAGGTAATTTACCTCAAATGATAAGCCTTGTATTTTAAGAAAATACTGTATTTCTGCTGGATTTTTCACCATAATAATAGGCACCTATATATCTTACATCACTTTCATAACCCTCTTCAAGGAAATACTGGAAACAAGATTAAGAGACTGAGGATAAGATTTAAACCAGTCTCCCACTTGGAAACATAAACAATGCTGTTGGACCTCTGGCCTCAAGAATACGGCTACTTTGTAAAATAGAGCAATGGTACTTTCTGCTTTTATAGTGGCAAAATATATACACAAAAGACTCCTAGCCCAATAATTAGAACTGAAATGAACAAAGTGTCTAATGAAACAGGTATGGGACTAACAAAATATTTACATATGATATCTGGTTTGATTTCAGGATCTAGTAACTACAATAACAAAAATCGTTTTAGTATAAAGTTATTGATGATCTATTCTGGCAGAAATACTCACTTAAGAAAACCTCCCACACTTGATTGTATAAATAATTAACCAGGATGCTGCATGTTTCAAGGTGCATTACTAGACCTAGGTGTTGTATTCAATCCCTCAAATATAAACGGATACAACATAGAACATTTTTTTAAGATAAATATTCTTGGTTTAAAATTTTAAAAATATAAAGCTTATTTAATTTAACCTTCCCGCTTCTTATTTAGTTGTTCTACTTTTTCTTTTTTCTTTTTTCTTATTTTAGGACCACCTCAGAAGATAGTGTCACCTAAACAAGAACATGAAGATAGGAAACATGACAAAGTCACAGATAAAGGCAGTGAAAGTGGGACTTCCTGTAATGAGCTCTCCACTTCCAGCTGTGACAGCCACTCAGAGGCAAGCACTCCCCAGGACAACCCACCCAATGCCCAGCAGGCGACAGCTCACCAGCCCAACACCTTAACATTGGATCGCCCTTCCAAAAAAGCACCTGTGCAATGGATGCCCCAACCCGACAAACGCAGAAACAGTGAACTCTTTCAGACACTCATCAGCAAGTCCCGGGAAACAAATCTGTCCAAAAAGAAAGTCTGTGAGAAGCTAAGTGTGGAAGAAGAAATGAAAAAGTGTATTCAGGATTTTAAAAAAATCCACATTCCAGATTATTTTCCAGAGCGCAAACGCCAGTGGCAATCTGAACTGTTGCAGAAGTACGGGTTATAGTAATAGTCACATTCCTGCAGTATTTCAATGACATTCGATGTTCACTACGGTGTCGCCACCTGACTATATCCTAACAACGGTCAGTGTGATTCTTGCTGCTCTTCCTTTTTGTGAACAGTGGATGTGGGACAGTATTTTCTTTCATTCTTTTTTGTTGTTGTTGTTGTTTTTAGAAGTATGGTTTTGAAAAGAGAAAATAAATAAATAAATAAATAAATAAATAAATAAATAAATAAATGTTTAACCAAAATGGCATATCGGACTCAAACCATTTGCAAGAATGAAAGTAAAATGTGCATGATCCAGAAGCTTAGAATCTTGATTTTTTGAACTGTGGTCAACTGGATATGTTTGCCATTTTGTAACTCACCAAAAACAAATCATCATATCACTCCAACTAAAATGACAATATGGATGAAGCAACATCAAGTAAAATGTTAGATGATGGTTTTGGGACCCAAATCCAAAACTGTTTAAATGTTAATGCAATAAAACAAGTATTATTTTTGCATGAACACAATGTTACAAATAAATCACATGACATAGGGAAGATCTGTTTGTTGCTTGGAAAGAAAATTACAAAAAAATAAAGTAAAAAAAAATGTTTCAGGCAAAGCCTATTAATGTAAACTGTCTAAGAGATTGATTTTACATGTCTGGATCTGTGACTTTTTGTGTATGTGTATGGTGTTCTGTATGTTAAGATGGTGTAAATATGCCTTATGCTGTTGTGTTATGGCACTGACATTCATCTATTAATGCTAGTCATGATTATTTCTGTGAAATGAGTCCTTACATCAGGCTGTGAAAATTGGTATAATAATGCTCTGAAAGATACTATTATCATGTTAATCAAAATAATTGAGGGAAATGGTAAAAAGCTTTATGTATTTATTAAAAAAAAGGAAATATATTGGAATTCCTTGATTTCTATTGACTCTTCTTTGAAAATACTCAATTGTCACATTGTCTTCAATATTCCTTTAAAATCTCAAGCTGGAGAATGATTTCGTTCAACCATGATGTTGACAGGTTAGAGTTTTAACATAAATCAAAATGGAGTCCAATCCAGATAGCCCTGGGATTGATTAATAAACCCTTAGCCTGCAAGAGAAAAAGACTTCATCTAAGAATGCACTAAAATTTTATTTTAGCTGACAACCAGATTGAAAGCTTCCCCCAAAACAATTGGGAAGTTACCTCTTGCAAATTAAGAGACAAAAACATTAATAGCAAGCTGAAAGGTCAGCCTGAATGACAAGTGATTTCTTTCTGATTGCATATGTGGAAATAAGCTTTCACAGTTTTTGCCTCACCATTTCTACGGAAAGAAATATCATGGAATTTTACTAAAGAATAGGATGAGAGATGGTAAAAATATCTTCAAGAATTATAGAGCTCATCTCCTCTGTGGTTAGTTTATACAAGCTGAGCAGCACTCCTGGTATCATTTCTTTAGTATAATATAGGGAGATAAGCATTACTGACTTCAAATTCTTTTATCTGCATACATTTTTTAATATAGCCTTAGGTTTCACACTTACTATTAAATAAAATATCATCTAGAGTGGACTATTGAAGAAAACCCAGATATATGATTGACCTTGAATTACCTATAAGACTTTAGGGAGTTACTGACCAATTCTGCATTTTATTTTGGGAAGGTTGGGAGTCCTGCCATGGCTTGATATAGTTGCAACATGCTGGTTAAATGAATAAGGCTTGGTGGTTAGGTTGCCACAGTTTAAAATTGTTTAAAGTTTATTTATTTTTGAGAGACCGAGAGAGTCAGAGCACAAGCAGGGGAAGGGCAGAGAGAGAGTGAGACGCAGAATCCGAAGCAGGTTCCAGGCTCTGAGCTCCGAGATGTCAGCACAGAGCCCGATGCCAGGCTCAGACCCACAACCCATGAGATCATGACCTCAGCCAAAGCAGATGCTCAACTGACTGAGCCACCCAGGTGCTCCTACACTGCCACAGTTTAAAAGTCCCTCCTCTTATGACCTGTGTGACCTCAGGGATAATGGGGATGATATCATAGAGAAGACTTAACTGAGGTAATTGAAGAAAAGCATCACCACCACTCCTGGAGATCGAGGGAAAAGGAGAAGTGGTGGTCTTTCTAGAACCCAGGAACCAAGGCTATCAGATGGGGAATGTAGAATAGAGAGGAATAAGTTGTCCAGTAAGAACTGTAAGCCACTAAAGAATCACAGTCACTTCCCAATGCCTCCCGAAACAAAAAGAGGGGGGGGGATTATCCTGGCTTCCCACATTCCAATATCCCATCAATGTTCTCCATTGTTCTAATATAAGTGGAAGCCAGTGGCAAAGGAGCATAGGAAATGTAATTTATAAAGGTAATCATCTTGCTATACAAAGCCCAGCAATGGAGGGCAGGGAACAGAGCTGAAAAACACCTTACACCCTGCTCTATTTTTTCCAAACATAGAACTTAAAATAGAATTGCAATGACAAGAAATTAGTAAATGTGGACTATTTCAAATCTTCTTATCTCTATGTCATAAGAGAAGTGATGACAGTAGGAATGTCTATCCTTTTAGTCCTTAGTAAATCAGAACCCATTTCAATAATAGTGTATTGAACACTTGCCATACACCAAGTTGCTCAAAGGTTATCAACACATTCAAGAAATATGAATTGCCAGCTATTACCTTTGGGAAGAAACTTAATGGTCTGATTCTCCCAAACCATTGTGTTTTCTCCAGAGGCTAGAATCTGACTAGCCCCAGTTGGGGTTACAAGGGTATCAAGGAAGGCGCTTAGAATGGGGACACTTCCTTAAAGAAAAGGAGACTCCAGATTTAAAGATGAGTAGGGCTAAAATTGATGGGTAAATGTCCCTTAGCAAAGAATCAAGAGATAAAATCTGGAGAATCACCAAAAGCCCAAAGTGCTGGAAGCTGGTACTGAAGTTGAGTATTTATGGAGAATAAATGTATTTTGGAGCTCACATATATATTTTTTGAATATTTACAGAGTTCACATGGTATACCTTTCTTTGGTATAGACACTCAACTTGTGACCTGATATCTTATTGTTATTTTAAACAGAAATATATTGAATACTAAGATGAGAAAAGGAAATGAAAAATAATTGTGAGATTTTCAATTTTGGAAAAATGGACTAGACACACTTTTCGCTATTCTGCCCACTAAGTACAACTAAAAATCCTAGACATTATATACAAACACACTTCAGAGGCTCTGAAAGGCTGAGAGAAGAAGGAAGGCTAAGTAAGGATATTGCGACCCAAAGAACAACAGGGTAATGAGTTTCCTGGGTTTTCTTTTCGCATCATATATCCCAGTCTTGGAGCTGAAAAAGCACATAGTACTCCAGAAACAGTAACAGGTGCAGAAAACACACACACACACACACACACACACACACACACACACACAATCCTGCTCTCTAGCCACAGTGCTAGGAAAAGTACAGCTTAGCAACTTAGCAAAAGAGAAAAGTTTTAGATAATAACTACTGCGCCTTTTCAGGTTGCAGATAAATTGACACAATTGCATTACACACCAATTTTAAGGCTCCCCAAGGCTCCCCACTTTTTAAAAGACTTGTTTAGAGTAGTTTTAGGTTCACAGCAAAATTGAGAAGAAGGTACAGAGATTTCCCCCACACCACTACTCTCATACATTCCTAATCTCCTCCAGTATCAACATCCTCCATCAGACTAGTACACCTGTTGCAACGAATGAACCTACATGGACACATCTGATCTTTTTCCTACATTGTTTTTCCCTTTCCAGATGTTGTACAGTCAGACTCGAACAGTACATAGACTTTTCAGATTAGCTTATTTAAGTTAGTAATATGCATTTAAGTTTCCTCCATCTTTTTTTGACTTGATAGCTCTTTTCTTTTCAGTGCTGAATTAATTATATTCCATCGTCCGGATGTCCTACAGTTTATCCATTCACCTACTGAAGGACAACATGGTCGCTTCCAAGTTATGGCAACTATAAATAAAACTGCTGTAAACTTCCATGTACAGGTTTTGTGGGACCTAAGTTTTCAGCTCCTTTGGGTAAATACAAAGGAATGTGATTGCTGGATCATATGGTAAGAGCATGTTTGGTTTTGTAAAGGATCTATCAAATCATCTTCTGAAGTAGCTGTACCATTTTGCATTTCTATCCATAGTGAATAAGAGTTCCTACTGCTTTACATCCTCACCAGCATTTGGTATTGTTAGTGTCCCAGATTTGTGCCATTCTAATAGATTTGTAGTAACATCTCGTTGTTTTAATTTCCATTTCACTAAAGACATGTAATGTAAAATATCTTTTCATATGGTTTTTTGCCACCTGTATAACTTCTATGGTGAGATGTCTGTTAAGATCATCGGCCCAGTTTTTAATCAGGCTTTTTGTTTGTTTTTTTATTGCCAAATTTTAAGAGTTCTTTGTCCATTTTGGATAACAGTCCTTTATCAGATATTTCTTTTATGAATATTTCTTCTAGTCTGTGGCTGGTTTTATCATTTCTTGACATTGTCTTTAACAGAGTAGAAGTTTTAAATTTTTTAAATATTTTGATGAAATCCAGCTTATCAACTATCTTTCATGAATAGTGTATTTGGTGTTGTATCTAAAAAGTCATTACCATACCTAAGATCATCAGTTTTTCTTCTGTGTTATCGCCTATCCGGGAGATTTGTCATTTTTCATTCTAAATTTAGGTCTGTGATCCATTGTTTTTTGTTTTTTGTTTTTTTTTTTGTCTGAGACTCATTTGAGTTAATATTTAAGGGTATGAGATTCATTTTTTATATGTGGATGCCCAGTTGTTTCAAGACCATTTGCTCCATTGCATTTCTTTTTGTTTATCAAAGATTAGTTGACTATGTTTATATAAGTCTATTTTATTCCATTGATTTATATATCTATTTTTTTAACCAATACCATACTGTCTTCATTACTATAGTTTTATAGTAAGTCTTAAAGTTGGATAATGTCAGTCCT